GCGGCGCGCCGCACCGCCCCGCGCCCCCTTGCCGAGTTCCCGGCTTCCAGCGCTGCTGGGCCCGCCTTCGTCATCCCGCCCCCCTGGTTCAGCATGAGGGAAATCCGAACCCGCCCGACGGACTGGAAACCGCCGCATCCGTGGGTCGGGGGTGCCTTGGGGGCCTTGGATTCACACGCACACACAGCACACAACACACAACACACACACACACACAACGCACAGCGCACAGCGCACAACGCACAACACACAACGCACAACACACACTCCAACACCACACAACACACCATGACAGACAACAGACAACACCCACAACACACAACACACAACACACTTTTTTGGTCGGCAGGGCGAGAGCGAACCTCTTCTGCTAAAAGCTAGGCGGGCTACGCACAGCATTAATAAGTAGAGACAGGGCGAAGAAGGGCGGGGCCTCAGGCGGCCAGGAGAATGGAGCCCGGGGATCAGGCGGTGCCGAAGCGGATGTGCAGGAAAAGGTACGCCTTGGACAGGAGCCCGGTGGCGAAATCCCAGGAAGCGAAAAGCGGTGGTGGTGCCGTCAACGGCGCTATTCGAACACCAGCCTCAAGAACTGCAGGAGAGGACGCGCCACGTGACCAGGCCGACGTCCAAGAGGAAGAGGAACACCACAAGGACGATGAGCAGCGTTGTGCCACCGGATGATGCCGAAGAGGCCCAGGGCGTGGTAATCCAATCCACGACCCGGATGCTTTCCAGCATGAGGCGCGGCAGCCGCGCGAACTGGCCGCCCATGACCGACAGGAAGCCGGTGCGTGTAGGGAGGAAGCCTGCCCTGCATCGGCAGCGCGTGAGAACGGGCAGGGGCCACACACGTTGCGCTGTCGTCCGCAGTGCCAAGGGCGGGGCCTGAGCCGCGCAGCGCCAAGGCTTGTGGGGCCGCCGCGGCGGCCAGTTGCAGCGCCAAACACCGGGCCGAAGCCGCGCAGTGCCGGGCGCTGCCGCCATGGGAGGGGGGTAGCGAGCGGGGGGGGAAGAAGCGGACAGGAAGGAAGGGGAGGGAGGAGGGGAACAGGTCGCCGAAGACGTGGATCGACGCAAACCCCGCCGCGCCGGGACCTGCAGGCCCGGGCGGTCCTGATTAGGGAAGGGCCCAGCGGATCAGGGGGACCAGCGGTCCCATAAGCAGGTGGAACGGTGGGGGGGGGGGAGGCGGGTGCCAACGGCGCCCCAGGCCGTATGGGTGAGTGGCGTCAGCGCGTAGCCCTGCCCCCCGTGGCAGTGCCCCTCATGTCGCGCATGCCCGTCTCGTGCGCCCACCTAAGACGGGAGTGCCGATGGGCTGCCAGGCTCTTGCAGCCAGCGCTGCAGCCTCTGCCGTTGTCGGAACAGGTGGGGGATCAGGGGCGAAGGGGGAGGGGGAAGGGGGATCAGGTGGTGTGCGTGGCCAGCGCTGTGCTGGTTGCACACAGAGTACTGCCGCAGTCTGCAAGGAACGGAATGAGCCGGGCGTGACACCCTGCGCACCGGCAGGGGGGGGCGGGTCCCGAGCTGGTCAGCGTCTAGGGCGTTTCCCGGTCCAGTTGCCGGTGGACCCGGAGCTGCGCGCCTGGCCCTCCCCGCGCCCTTCGCCTATGGTTACCTCCCTTTTCTCCTGGAACTCCTGGTAGAGGGCCTCTTCCCGTTCCCAATCCGCGCCCCTCCCGCTTCCGCTGGAACTCCTGATGCAAGGTGTTTTCGCGGTCCCAGTCGATGTAGACGCCCGCGTTCCGGGATCAGGTGCCCACGTCGTGGTGGCTGTGTGCCATTTCGCCCAGGAAGCGGTCGATCATGTCGGGCTGCCAGCAGGACGGGTCAAACTTGACTTGGTTCTTGGTCTTGCCCTTTTCCTGGCCCGCGTGCTTGCGCCAGGACTGCCAGGCTGCGGTGAAGTGGTAGCCTCCCTCGACCTTCAGCCTTTTCAGGTGGGTGGTCGCCGTCTCGTCTGGGCGTCTCGGCCAGTGGACGCGGCGGTCTTCCCAGGGGCGGTTGTGGACAGGGCGGCGGCACGGTGTAAGCTGGGACCTCGGCGGTGTCGAGGTTCCAGGACGTTGTGCATCGTTTGCGATTCGAAGGCGTGGCAACCAGCGCGGTGCGAATAACGCGTCACACCAGGCTGCGCTGTCGGCGTGACCAGGAACAGGCACGGGATCGGGGCGACGATCTTTCGCACTGGTCAGGTGCATTGGAGGATGGGAGGTTGGGGAAGAGATAGGACCTAGGAGGGATCAGGGCGCCATGTCTCGGAAGCCGGGCAACGGCTGCTAAATCCGTGGCTGCCAAGAGCGACCTCCGGGAAGTTGTCTTCGTCCTTCCGGGAAGAAGCCCGTTGATTGTATCGCGTGCCGCGCCTCATTCCGGGAAGTTGTTTTTTCCTTCCGGGAGGGCCGTTTTAGCAGCCACGGTTTTAGTAGCCCTCGCCCAGTTTCCGAATGTCGCTGACGGTCAGCATGGCCAGGAACAGCCGCGGGCTCAGGGCGACTGGCCATCGCGACGGCCAGGGGCTGAATTTCGCCTTGCGCTGCTCGGCAGGATCAGGAAAGATCTCGTCCACGTCCGCTTCCGGAGCTGGCGTTGGTCGAGCTCCAGCACCTGCGGCGCCGTGCGCAGGCAGGAGGTCGCCGTCGGGCTGCTGAGTTTGTCCCGGGGCAGCGCCGCACTGCAGGCCCCCGCCCTCCACCTCGCCCTCCGCCTAGTCGTCGCGCATCTGTTCCTCGTCATGATGCTCTTCATTCCCCTCCCCCCCTTCACCCCCCCCCAGGGGAAGGAGGGCGAGAGGGCCGGTATGGATTCCTGTCGACAAGATGGCGGATGGCCTCGTTGTCCTGCCTCTGCAAGGCTGGTCCGTTTTTCCCCAGCGAGGGGGCTTCGAGTGCACCAGTGGCGGTGGCGAACGGGGTCACCGCGGGGCGTCGCTGGGTCTCGCCCCCGACTGGGTGCAACGACAGCCCCGGGCTCTCGGGTTCCGCATATGCCGTCGGCCACGGGGGTGGCCTCGGAGGCGCCGGGCGGAGCGCCCGCGCCGATCGCGAAGACGCGCCCGTCTGTGGCCCGTGCGCACATCCAGGAGTCGGGCGAGCCAGCCAGGCGTGGATGCCCTGGGTCACGGTCAGTCGTGCCTCCTTCCACGCCCCCGACGCAGGCGCTGTAGCAGCTGGCGGCCGCTCTTGGATTTGCGTCATCCTGGCTCTCTGTTCTGTTTGGTAGGTCTCCGTTTTCGGGCGCTCCCTCAGCAGCCTTCTGGGCTGCCGCCGCGCTACCGTCGCCGGGGGTGGCGCCATTCCGGGCGTCTCTTCGGCCTCCTCCAGGGCACTGTCACCGGGGCGCTGATAGGAGTGAGGGGCAGTGGGGGCGCCTGTTTGCTTATCTCCGGGAGGAGAAGGGACTGGCGCGCTGTGGCGGACGTCCACCTGTGGACTTCCCAGGGGACTGCTGCAGCTGAAGGATGGCCTAACGGGTCCTGCTTCTATTTGCGAGTCCGATGTCGCGACCGCTCCGTTCCTTCCTGGCCTATCGGGCCCTGTCTCGCCTTGCGGGGTCTGCTGGCCGCCAGGGGTGCCCGGTAGGGCGTCAACTGTCGCCGCGGCGCTGTCTCCAGGAGGGGCCGCGCTCCTTCCGTGAATAACGGCCACGCTTTCGGAGACATCTTCCTGACTGCCCGAATTGTGGCGGGCGTCTCCGAGCGCGGGCGTGCCCCCTGCGGCGCTGCCAGCGGTAGCAGCGATGCTGTCTCCAGGAGTGTCTGATTTGGGACCGTCCTGACTGTCACCGGGGGGCTGTTGCTGCTGTTGCAGTTGCTGCTGACGCCAGGGGGCTGTCGCAGGGGGCTGGTGCTGCTGTCGTCCACCTCCATCGGGGATGGCTGTCCTTCCAACTCGCCGCTGTCCGGTCCGAGGTGCGGTTTTCTGATGATTGCGGAGGCTCTGTCCGAAGGGCGCGCGCCTTCCCACAGTGGCTCCCCCCCAGGGCGGTCGCGGGTCGCAGCTGTGGGGCGCTGCTGTGATCCAGGGTCTGAGTGGCTGCCAGGAAGGGGGCGGGGGCCCGAGACGCCATCGCTTCCTTCGGGCCTAGCGGGCCCTGTGTCAGACACAACCGCTGCGCCCCCTTCTGGCCTACCGGGCCCTGCTTCTCTTGGAGAGGTCTGCTGGCTGCCAGGGGTGCCCGCGAGGGCGTTGGGATTCGGACACTGGGGTGCAAGGGTGCCGGTGGGATCAGGGCGACTAACGGTCGCATCTCCAGAGAGATCAGAAAACGGAGCAGGAAGGACCTGTTCTTGTACGGGGGCGGGATCAGGGCGACTGACGGTCGCAATTGCCTGTGAGATAGGGGAGAGAGGAGGGGTCAAGACACCGCGATGTCGAAGGTCGGCTTGTCCAGAGAACAGGTCCTCCCTGACTTCTTTCTGCTCCTCCTCCTGCGACTCGCGACTATCTTTGCGCTTTTCCCGGTGGGGGCGACCCGTTTCGCAATCTTCTGATCCAGGGTCTGAGTGGCTGCCAGGGAGGGGGCGGGGGCTCGACCGAAACCTCGCTCCCTTCTGGCCTAGCGGGCCCAGCTTCTCCTTGCGAGTCCGAGGGCGCAACCGCAGCGTTCCCTCCTGGCCTAACGGGCCCTGCGTCTCTTGAAGAGGCCGGCTGGCTGCCAGGGGTGCCCGTGAGGGCGTCTGGGCTCGGGCACTGGGATGCAGGGGCGCCTTGTTCGCCGGAGGAGACAGGGATGCAAGGGTGTGAGGGGACCTCGTCGTCAGCACCGTAAGGAACGTATCCGTTCCCTTCTGGCCTAACGAGCCCTGCTTCTCCCTGTGAGTCCAAGGTCGCACCCGCTTCGTTCCCTTCTGGCCTAACGGGCCCTGCCCCAGCTTCTCTTTGGGAGTCCGTAGGCGCGACCGCAGCGTTTCCTTCTGGCCTAACGGGCCCTGCTTCTCTTTGAGAGGTCTGTTGGCCGCCGGGGGTGCCCGCGAGGGCGTCAGAGCCCAGCCCGGG